TCAATTGGTTGCTGGGAGGGAGGCTTCGATTTCTCCTTGGCAAGGAACATCACTTTTTCTAACTCGGGCAGGGGCCAACAGTGATGGAAAGCCCAGAAAAGTTGCTGCATTTGAAGGACAACACCGTTTACCATAAGAGGGCGGTAGTCGTTTACCCAAAAAATACCCACAAAACTGGGATGCAAGTCAAAAGAGTTAACTTCTCCACGTTAAATCTGAATATAAGTTACTTAGGCAGATACCACTGTATTTAAGAAAATTGACTTTGGAAACTTACCTTTTCTACTGCAAATGTTCGAATCACATATTCAGCCAGGAGCTCTGTTTCTATTAGGGTAACTTTAATGTCTTTATATATCTCTGTGTCATCTGGCCAGTATTTGCAGCATTTGACCTTTAAAAAATATAAAAGAAATTAAGGTTCATTTATTTTAGAAGGTTCATACTGAATCCGTTCTGTATTCTGTGCAGCGATTTCTGTTTTAAAATGCAATCACGCGCAAACAGTCACATTTTCTGCACGTGGAAATGATTAATGTTTAAGGGACATTGCCTCTTCTTTTTTTAAGACAGCTTTCAGAGTTGCAGGTGAGATTTGTGTTGTGGTTAGTAAAGTACGGCAAATTTGTACGGAGCACAAGGGATATTTATACCCTGCACAACTCAGTTACCGTAACTGTTCATTTCCCGTGCTTTCCAACGCGGGCTGTGCCCAAAGGCACAACTACCGCCAGAAGGTTTTTCTTCCCCAACCTCTAGTTGGTGATTTGTCTCAAAAATATCTTCCTACCTTCTAAAATGGAAACGTATTTTTCAGACAGGAAGGATCTTCTTTACTGTTAGAAAAGTATCTGTTTGCTCAGATTAACTTTCCAAAGGAACTGGTAAGAGGTGAAATGGCAAAATGCAACACTTGAAGTCAAGAGATGAGTTTTACGTCTGGGCTTTATCACCAATTCACTAGATGACTCCAAACACTATGGGTGGGATTCATCTCACTTAGCTCAAACTAAGATGAGTAGGACGAGTGCCTTCTAGGGGTGCCTTTATTTTTGTTAACTTTGAAAAGAGTCCGGGTGACTGCCTTCGCCTAGGTGTTTGGCTTCTTGACGGCTAAGGTTAGCTGAGGTGAATTCCCCTTTCCCCCATACTGATCTCAGTGGGCTTCTGGAGCTGTGTGTTCTTGGCAAATTCGTCCTGGACTATGGGGATGGAAAGAAGGTGAGTTTTGTGAACTGTATTTCAGAAGTTCTGAGCCCTGATGTGGTCTAGACTGGATGGACTCCACAGTATTTAACGTATTCAAACCTGCACTATTATTCTGTTGTTTCTTAAAGTAAGCGGGTGGTTTTGGGGACTGTATATGATGGTGTAGATAGCTGACAGACTTCAGAATTTTCTCCTCCTTCCCATTTGTGTGGACAAGGCGGTGGGTGGGGAAGCTAACGCATTACTTACAGCTCTCTCTTTTATTCTGCGCTATCATGGTAATAGCTATGCTATCACCACTGCATCTGGCCGTCGTCCAGTAGTGCAGTACGTGCTAGGAGTAGCATCTGTTATACATCTGCTGCATGGAATGGATTCTCTCTGTCTCTCACCGAAGGGAAAATTTGAAATGGATCTTTTAATACATGTAAATCTACTGGTTTACTTAAATATACACTTAAATGCGTTGGGTAAAAAAACCCATACACTTCAAATATTCAATGGGAAACTGATAGAGAAATTAAAAAAACCCTTAAACTTCACAACTGGTAGAGTATTTCTCAAATCCATTTTCATGCCAAAATATTTGGATTACTATCGTGTCTAGTCTTGAGCAAGAGGTAAAACTGATGAACGTGTGTATAAGCATATGGTGAAAACTGTAACGCATGATTCAAATGAGTTATGTATACAAACTCCAGGTTCAGCATATAAAGGATTATGCAGAGAGTTAAACCTCATCCTGTTAGGCAGAAGAAAATACTCTCCTCAGAATTTGTTTCAAGTGACGTAGCCAGTAATCACATAAACCCCCTCTTTAGTGTTTGGACGGAGCAGAGGTCTCGCCACATCGAAGTAGTAACATTGGCTGATAAGATAAAAAGTTTGTCCAGGCAGGGTCAGTAGTGCTGACCCTTTTTCTGACTCTTTAGCAGGATAAAATTTAAATCTGAGTAGAACTGAGTTGAAGGGCTGGAAAAACAGAGTCCTATATCAGGATCCTCTTCAGAGAAAAAGAGTAGCCTGGTCGTAAGCCCCAGCTCCCAGCCACAAAATTATACAGGCATCCCGACAGCTTATTCCTGCTTACACAGCTGATGGGAAGCTCCCAGAGCAGAGCTGAAGTTCAGGTAGCTGTAAGCAGGTTTTTATTTATTTCTCTATGCTTGTCTTCAGACCTAGCAACCGCATTAGTATTGGCTAAGAAAAATTCTTTATATTCTTCACATTTCATCTGGTATTAAGCATGGTTTCAGGACAACTGGCAAACCCCAGGTTACGGAGTTCCCCTCCATAGCAAGCGGCGTGGAGCTGGGAGACGGACCGGTCCTGGCAGCGCCCCGCACTCCCGTCCCAGGGCAAGGGTACCACGACCACCCCGACCCCCACAAGCTGCCAGGGCATCAGTGAGGATGGGAAGGTTTCCACCAGCCACGGGCCCAGCCGAGGGCCAGTCCCAGGGTGCCTAAATGACAGGATGTCTGGCAAATGCGTATTCATCTCTGGAGTATATCTATCAGCTGTAAGCAATGAACAACTCTTTCAAAAACGTTAAATGTTGCTGCAAGCAGTTTAGGGGTTGCTGCTGCTATCTATTCTTGCATCTACTTGATCTTTATTCAGATCTTATCTTGTTTGGACGTATTTCCAAAAATCCTCTGATAGAAGCTAAGTGAAAAACATTGAATGCTCATTGTTTTGTCTGTGGTGTTAAAGTAATCCAGAAAATTCACATTGTTCAAATCCCTTAGGCCAGCAAACTGACCCTTTCATGGTCACTGGCAGGAACTCTCTGAAACAGCGTTCTCCTACCTATGGTCAAGATGATTTTTCAGCTCTCCATGCAGAATAAGGCAACTCACACCGCCTCTGGGCTGGAGCAGCCCACTGACAACCCATCTCTGCAGCCGATTCCCTTTTCCTGCCTCTCCACTTCTCCTTTCCACAGGTGGAACCTGGACCGCATGAAGACGGCCAACACACGTAGGAGGGAGCAGCTGCAGCGGTGACCCTGTTCACAGCACTGCTGATGACTGGCACGTCTCTTTGGTGCTAACTTTAGCCTTGTTTCTTTCCGATGGGCGCCTGCCATCCTCAAACCAGCTCTAGTTTAGTAAAATAAACAATCAGGGAACAAAACCCAACCCTGGCTGAAATAAATTGCTCAGCCTTGAAGGAAAACATGCCTGTTTCTAACTTGGTAAGTCTAGACAGTCTGGATTATGACTAAGAACTAGGGACATTTAGAAAGACCAATTTAGAAGAGCACAGTCCCCATCTTCTTACGCCTCAACTGTTGGATTTGCTTCCACTCTGTTTTTAAACCTTATTTAAGATGATCCAGTGGAATAATTAGGGAAGCGTTGGCGGATGTTGCACAGAAGTTATAGCCTTTCGTGCCTCACGCAGCTTGGGCCCGCCGGGGATTTCTTACTCTGCTGCACAGGGGATTTTGGGCACGGCGCAGATTGGGGCTGAGCAGAAGGATCCATGACAACACAATTTCCTGAAAACTCTCCCAAGTGGAAGAGGGGCTGTAACAGCCATGGGAGCGGTGCCAGAGCTGCTGTCAGAGCCACAGACCAACACTAAATGATTCACTCACTGGGACAGGAGGAAAAAAAAAATCAACTTTTTTCTTTTTTTTTAAAATTCAGGCTCTTTTCCTACTTTTGGCTCTTGTTCTGCAATGCTGCTGCACATGCTGAGCTCTAGACGTGGGAACTCTGTGGACTCCCAATGAGCCAAAAAATAAGTAAATGCATAAAGACCAGTCTCCCATCTCCTCCAGGACCTCTCAAATAAAGGCAAAGGTGTCTTAAAGACAGAGGTAGACTAAATAGTGTAAATCAAAATTACATTTATAAATGTCTATTGGATCAGGGCCTTTATTTGTACAAGGAAAGACAATTGCAACAGAATAGAATATGTTTTACTCATCAAATATGAGAAACACTGCTGGTAGCATATGTTTGTTCATTTTTTCTTTTTAGCACAGCTTTAGCTACTGTAACTTGTTTTTTTTTTCCCTTTTTAAAAACATTTGGTACGTTTTAAAAAAAACCTCTACTAACAGAAGGTTTAGCTAAATAATTGATACATGAATCCAGAACTGAATATTAAATGCATTAGATTTTTTTTTCACAGTTGCTACCATAACAGTAAATATCACCCATGAAGTAGAAAACATCATTTTGAAATCTCATCTGAGCAGAACTATAATTGAGAGTTTGTTCAGATACACCCCACATTTATGTCCTAACAACGTGCCAAAAAATACAGATGTTCATGACAAGACGAGATAAAAGGGTGATTGCCAGAGACATAATGAAAATGCTCTGCTTTAATCTATTCATCCCAAGGTACACTGTCCAATTGTTGCAAACATGTTTATTTTACTAATAATTTTAGAAATTTGGAGAAGATGATTATCTACTTCCACTCCCTAGCTCCATCCCCTAGCAAAACAGTCTAATGTGAGAAACTAAGAATTAAAAATGAAGGTGGAAAGTTGTTGTTGCTGCTTCTAAATATAACAAACAATGTAGGCAGTGGATAGCTAATGAACACAAATTGTGACTTCCGAAGCTGTGTATTTAACCATTTGGCAATGTGACACATCTAGCTAAAGGCAGTATGAAAGCCAGGACAGTAATTCATTTACTTAGAGGTTTGGAATAGGAGGAATATTACAGAATTAATACGTGAGCTGGCTGTGAAATATACTTTGCAGTTTGTACAGAGCAGTTTAAATAACACTGATTATTCAAAGTTTCCAATTTCCTTTGATTCTGAAATATTCTTGCAAAAAGGCGATATAACTAGCTATGCACTGCATGGATTGTCGTTAGTGAAGAGCAGTATTGTAGATTCTAATTTAAAATTAATCCTGAACTAAGTAATGAAGATAAGTCAGACATAAATTTTGAAGTGAAACCTCTGGGATATAAAATGAAATAGCCAACCAAGCTCACCGGTGAAAATTTTTAACAGATTTTTACAGATGTAGCTAGGATAACATCATATACTTTTATTTGGCTGACTTGAAGTAAAAGGACATCCAATAATTGAAAGTATTTCTATTTAAATACTTCTCAAACAAAAAACGTATTGTGATTTAAGAACATTTTATAAGTTATAAAACAACCTTTGACAGAAGATAAAACCCAGTCTTTCTTTTTTTCA